TAGGGCAAGCACGTGTTCGGTTGTTATGGCTGCCAAAAGGAAGCTGGTTCCTTCAACACCACTACACCTGGCCCAAACATCAACTTCCAATTCATCTTTCTTGAAGGACCCAGACCCTCACCCTTCCCCATGCTTTGGCAGCCATGTCAGGCTACAGAAAAGACTCCTGACTCAGCAGGATGTGCTGAACCCCCCACTCCTTGCCAGACCTTGCCCTAATTACTGGGAAGAAACTACCAGATCCCCTCCATGTGGTAAGGAACTAATCAGAAGTTAGCTCAAAGGCTTTGCCTGCACTTTACTGATAACAGAGGAGTGCAGGCTGTAGCAACTGTCAGGGGACAGCCTCCAGGCATAGCAACCTTTCTGCTGCTGACCAATCAACTCAGGACAGGGTCCCCCAGCCCAGGAACCTGTTCTGAGACTGTTACTAGCAGACCCCCAGACACCTCAAATCTACCTCAAATATATGCCCTGCCTCACCCAGGTAGGGTCCCTCCTACTCCACCTGCCGTGTCAGACGGTGGACCCAAGGTCATCAGATCTGTTCTCTTGGTGGTTTTGTGTTATGTTTTTGTTTAAATTAGATATAAAGAAAAAGAGGAGGCACAAGATGATACATATTAAACATATAGACTAGTTTATTATAAGCCCGGCAGGGTAGGGAGACTAAAGGAGAAGAGAAAAGGGGAAATGGCTGACCACCATGGCCGGTTGCCATAGAGAGGCAGAGAAAGCGCACAGGTGGGAGAAGAGCAGAGCGAAGAAGAAGCAGAGAGAGAGCGAAGCAGGGAAGTTGGAACTTTTAAAGGGAAGACTGCATGCATGCACACTGAGGTTCCACGCATGCCCAGAGTCCTCATGCAGGCTGTAAATGCGTGGTGGGTGATGTGGTGATGGCTCGTCCCTATGCCCCTGTGCGTGCCCTGACTGTTGTCAGGAGGCAGGATCTGTCTCTTAAAGAGGTAGAGCCGATCAGCATTAAAACCTGAACCTTTCATTTTGGGGGTCCAGACTTTGGGCACAACATCCCTAAAGCCAAAATCTTTTGACAACATTCTCACTGTTCCTGCCTCAAACCCTTCTATCTCTTCTAGACCGTCCATGAGATAGTGATGAGGTACAGCCCACCTCTCCTGTCTTACTCTTCACGGCTCTCAGTATCAGCCACTGGGCATTCTCTTAGCCACCTCCCTTGCTCAGCATAGCCTCCAGGCTTTTAGCCAAGCTCTTCTCTCTGCCTGGACTCTTTTCTTTCAACCCTTATGCTAACTTTGATCAACCCCAAGTCCTGGCACGGACACTGAAGATAGCCTTTTTTCAGGTTCCTATGAGCACCAGAGGCTCCCACCCTAGCTGTTAGTGTTATTATTGTGAGAGTTGTCTGCGTCCCTCATGAGCCCAGCAGCTGTCAAGGACAGGAGCCACATCTCACTCTCTTTTGGGAGATGTGGGAGACAGGGTCTCATTATGTAGCCCTAGATAGCCTGGAATTTACTCTGTAGACCAGGCTGGCCTCAAACTCACAGAGCTCAGCCTGCCTCTGCTTGAGTGCCGGGACTCAAGGCGTGTGCACCACCCTGGCTCCCTCTCTGTTTCGTCTGACACTGAACAGATGCTGTATAAATAGTTGTTGAATACATGAAATGAACCTGTCCTAACCACTTAAGTCTACTGATGAACACCACTCCACCAATGAAGATTTTATGACTTACAAGCCATTCATGTCAATAGACACCTGCTATTTTGGACTTTAATACTGATATTTCAGTTAAGAGTGTGTGGCTAGTGGTGGCCCACGCCTTTAATCCCAGCACTTGGGAGGAAAAGGCAGGCCGATTTCTTGAGTTCGAGGTGAGCCTGGTCTACAAAGCTACACAGAGAAACCCTGACTTGTAAAAGCAAAACAAAACAAAACAAAACAAAACAAAAAAGTGTGTGGCTATAAGCAAAAGAAATCTATCACTGACAATATAAAAAGTGATATTAAGTCCTTTCACTTTATCGATGAGAAACTCAGGGTTCACAAAGGGGTCTGAGCCTGCTTTGTGGGTGTGGCCAGGGCCCACTTCCAAGGCTGAGAGGAGGACTACTAATGCTAATCCCCATGCACTCCCCACAAGGCAGAGCAGCTCTGTTCAGCCAGGAGCTCTTGTCTGGCTCTGCTCAAAGCCTGCTGCAACCCTGGGCTCACTTTCACAGGCAGGCATATATAAAGAGAACTCCCAGAGAGCTTGCTTAGCATACGTGAGACCCTGGGTTTAATTCCCAGCATCACCCCTCCAAATTATTTTTAAAAGATTATTATTATTGACTTTGTTTATTTGTGTGGTGGTGGTGGTGATGGTGTTTGTATGCGTGTGTGTGTGCAGTGTGTGTGTGTGTGTGTGTGTGTGTGTGTGTGTGTAGAGAGAGAGAGAGAGAGAGAGAGAGAGAGAGAGGGAGAGGGAGAGAGAGAAGAGAGTGCTCGAGTCACCTCAGAAACCAGAAAAGAGTATTGGTTCCCTTAGTATTGAAGTTACAGGCGGTTGTGAGTCACCTGACATGGGTGCTGGGAATTGAACTCCAGTCCTCCAGAAGAGAATTAAACACTCTTAAGAACTGAGCCATCTCTCCAGCTACCCATCCCCAACCTTTGTTCTAAAAAAAAATAAAACAGACTGTCAATGTCAAGATAAAGACACCTATTGCCAAGCCTGATGACCCCAGGACCCACATGGTGGACAGAGAGAACAGACTCTTGCAAACTGTCCTCTGCTCTCCACACACATGTACTGGCATGTGCTCTCCCACAAAATAAAATATAATTAAAAAGAGAAACAAAACAGATGAGGTGGATCATGGAGAGCATCGGCTGGAGGCTGGGCTTAAACTTGGCTCTGTGGTAGAGCGAGCACAGAAACAAGCCCTATTTTCATGGGGGAAAAGTGGTAGCAGGCTGGGCATGGTGACACACAGCCATCCCAAAACTAGGAAGGCAGATGCAACAGGATCTCTTTGAGTTTGAGGCCAGTCTGGTCTACATAGAAGGACTGGCTCAAAACAAACCAAAACAAAACAGTAGAGGTTAACCAAGGTGGTACATCCCAGAACTTCGGAGGTAGAGACAGTAGAATCAGAAGTTTTAGGTTAGCCTGAGCTATGTGTGACCTTGTCTCAAAGTCCTCCTCCCCAAAAAAGGGGGGTGGAAGGGGTTGGGTGGAAGGAGGATTGATTGTTTTAGATTAAATTAAAAGACACAATATACAACCCAAGAACCAAAACTGGGTCCTGACTATGAAGCAATATTGCTTATAGGATGCATTGCTTACTTTTTTTAAAGAGTTTATTTACTTCTTATGTATACATTCTGCTTTCATGTATATCTGCACACCAGAAGAGGGCACCAGATCTCATAATGGATGGTTGTGAGCCACCATATGTTTGCTGGGAGTTGAACGCAGGACCTCTGGAAGAGCAGTCGGTGCTCTTAACCTCTGAGCCATCTCTCCAGCCCCAACGCGTTGCTTATTGGTGGAGAGTGGTTGCTTATTAGTGGTGTAAGAGGTTCTGGGTTCAATCCCCAGAACATGAGAAAAGAATAACAAAAATAAACAAACAAACAAATAAATGCAAAGAACCTAATTTAAACCAACTCAACTATAAAAGCTGCTCTAGTAACAACAGGAAATTGAAATGAGCCACAGATAGGACTTCACGCACAGTTTCTCCTGTATCTGCTCCTGCATCAGTGATTTGCATGACCCTATCTGTAGAAGACATATTTGACCTGATATGGCACTGACCATCATGCAGGCTACCTAAACCAAAAGGGACTGGGGCGTGGAGGGAGGGGCATTGTCTGTTTTGCTCACTGCTCCATTCCCAGGGCCTAGCACACAGTGGAGGGGCTTAGCACACAGTAGGTGCTCCATTGGTATTTGGAGTGTATAATAACCTGCCTTCTCATTTCACATTTCCAGGCTGAACACAATGCTAGTTTCACTGATTTGACCTGCTTTCGATTTCATGCAATCACACCTTATTTTTCTGGTCTTTCATGGAAAAAGCATGGCCACTGTCAATGTCTTCGTGTCAGGGCTAGGAGCAAAGCTCCGTAGTAGTGACTTAACATTCTTGAGGCCTTGCATTCAGTTTTCAACATCACATACACACACACCAACACTCCAACTATATGCCTGGGGCAGGGGTCCTGGGGTGGAGTGTGTGTTTAGAATATGTAAGATCCTGGGTTCAATCCTAAGCACCACATTTGTTTTTTCTTTTGCATGGGCCTATGTGTCTCTCTAGAGCTGGTACCTGGGATGTAACTGCTGAGCCAAAGGCCATTGTGCATTCTCGGCCTACCAGACATGACCACACTGAATCTCCAAGGCAGCAATGCCAACACACTCCCACACATTCCTGTTTTACCTCATCCTCACCAGCACGGCGCTCTCAGATCTGACAGTGCTTCTCAGTCAGGGATGGACACAAAGGATATTTTCAAGACACGAGGCAATGTTTTCATAACTCAATTTGGCCAGAACCCATGTAAAGAAAGCCCTTTGGGGCTGGACGTTGGTGACGCATGCCTTTAATGCCAGCACTTGGGAGTTCAAGGCCAGCCTGGTCTACAGAGTGAGTTCCAGGACAGGCGCAAATACAGAGAAACCCTGTCTCAAAAAGAAAGAAAGAAAAGGAAAAGAAAAAAAGAAAGAAAACCCATTGGGTCCATTTTCTCAAATAGTACTACAGCAACCCTGTGAGTTCCAGAAATCACCAGTCAGAGGGGAGAAACTGAGGCTTGGGGTTCAGCACCTCACTGAACTTTCTCAGAGGATAAAGTGAGGTGCCTCTGAGCCATAACCCCCAGAATGATGAACTCTTAACCTCTATGGCTGACCCTCATAGTTTCCATTTTTCCTTCAATTATTTATTTACTTATTGTCACCCTCCAACTTTCCTATGTTGAGCACATGTAACTCTTTTAAGTCAGAAAAGAGCCTTAGTGAACTTCATTTTAAAGTATCAAGGTCCCCTTCCCTAACCAGCGAAAGGGAAACAGAAGGAGCAGAAAACAGGGGCTCTGTGAGTTCAGCAGGTTGGTTTGGGGATCACAGCCGCCACCTCTCTTTCTGTCTTTGGCTGTGTGTCATTCACAAAGTGAAAGCTGTGCTGCCCAGGCTATGGGGTGGGATGTCACAGCCTTCTCTGGGGTGCACCTCAGGCATCTTGGGGGGTCACCCAAGATGTCCTCATCGTTCCACACTCACCAGGTCTGGTTGGTGCTGGGGTCGTGATGCAGAAAGGAGCTGAGCACAGAAGGTGCACCTGGTTTAAGTGCTGTGACCCAGGGCCAGGCCACATCCACATTGAAGGCTCCCAGTGGCATCAGGTCTGTGAACAAAAGAGAAACATCTGATAAAGAGGCACGTTGTTGAGACCGTAGCTGTACCTGTACCTGCCATCGATCCATCAGGTTCTATGGCATCAATATCACCTCCACGGACGCCTTTCCCGTGGAGAGAGAATGGATGTGGGGGTGTCTGACCCAGGGCTGCTGGTCCCCATCCTAAACCAAGCTGCTGCAGTCCCAGGGAAGACATCCTCTGAGGAGCACTACCCACATGCTTACTTACACTTCCTGCTTTGTGATTTTTCACACCAGTCACGACTGTGACCCACACCTAACTTAACAGGGATCCAGAGCCCCCAGAGAAGGTCTACACCCCTTCAAGGGACCCAAGAGTAAACACAGTGTCTTCAAAGATACCTTCTAAGAAGGTTTAATAGAGTTTTGCTCCTCAACAACCCTAAACTGGAAACAAGCCAAACGGCATCAGTGGGGGAGTGAATGAGGTAACTGTTCACACGGAGGAACTCCACCAGTCGGGAGTCAAAAAGGAAGGAACTGAGGCGAACAGCACATGAGAGGGTGGCCCTCGGCTCATCATTCATGCTCAGTAAAGGAAACCTAAGGGCCTTAAAAGAACTCCAGACAGGACTGGAGAGACGACTCAGAGGTTAAGAGCACTGGCTGCTCTTCCAGAGGTCCTGAGTTCAATTCCCAGCAACCATATGGTGGCTCACAACCATCTGTAACGGGATCTGGTGCCTTCTTCTGGCCTGCAGGCATACATGCAGGCAGAACGCTGTATACATAATAAATACACAAATCTTTAAAAAAGAAAAAAAAGAAAAAGAAAAGAACTCCAGACAGCTCAGCATGGTGTGCACACCTTTAATCCCAGCAGGGGTCAGAGGCAAGCAGATTGCTATGTGCTATGTAGTTCAAGGTCAGCCTACTCCACATAGTGAGACCCTGTCTAAAACAACAACAACAACAACAAAGGCCAGGAGTGGTGGTGCACCCTTTCCAGCATTCAAGGCAGAGGCAGAGGCAGGTGGATCTCTGAGTTTGAGATTAACTTGATCTGGAAAAGCCTGGGCCACACAGAGAAACCTGTCTCAAATCACCCCCTGAATAGAAAGAAAGATATAAATAAAATTTGAACTTTATATATGATGAAATGTTTAAGCATACATAAGAACCCAGGGTCTCTCTCATACATGCTAGGATGGATAGATATGAAGAATCAAAAAATATTCAGAACCGTAGAATATAACTGCCTAACTTCACAATTTTTCAATATGTATGACACGTTTTATTAAAATTTGTGGAGGCAAACCAGGCATGGTAGCCCACACCTTTAATCTCAGCACAAGAGAGAGAGGGGGGGGGATCTCTGAGTTTGAGACCAGACAGGTCTACACAGTGAGTTCCTAGACAGCCAGAACTACGTATTGAGACCATGTCTCAAAAGACCAAGGGAAAAAAATAGTGGAACAAATTGATATTGACTCATTGCCCCCAACAGGCCATCCTAATTCATACTCCAATAACAGGACACGTTTATTTCCCACAGTGTTTTCTGCTTTGTTTGAAAAACATATTCCACCATCCTGTTCCAAAACCAGGGATGAATGTCAATGGCAGAGTGTCTGTCTAGTGTGTGTGAGGCCCTGAACTTAATTTTTAGCACCACAAAAGTAATATTAAATGAAGCATCTTGCTTTTGTCAAATAACATAAATTTTGCTATCAGAAAAAAATTGTCTGGGTATCTTGGATTTGATAGAATATAATACAGTTTTTATGTTAAAGTTAATGGGGGAATAATCTTCCAATTAATAGTTTTTAAATTTCTAGTAAAGAGTTTAAGAGCAAATCAAAATAATTATACAAGGGTAGATTTATAAACTGTGTTCTCTTGAGTACAAGGAAGGGAAAGATGTATATGTACATAACCTGATTTCTTCAGTAGGAAGATACAGTGATTTTTAATATTATGACTCCAATTAACATCTCTTCAAAATCTAAAAGGCAAAAACCTGACTGGAGCCTGGGGGTGGTGACACATGCCTTTAATCCCAGCACTCGGGAGGCAGAGGCAGGAGGATCTCTGTGCGTTCAAGACCAGCCTGGTCTACAGAGCGAGTTCCAGGATAGGCTCCAAAGCTACAGAGAAACCCTGTCTGGAAAAAACAACAACAACAAAAAAAAAACAAAAACAAAAAATAAACAAAACTCTGACTTGACTGGATTTAAAATATTACAGATGTTACAACCAACGGAGACTTCAACACTTCAACAAAACTTTCACGTTAGCTATAAAACAGACAAAAACAGAGCATCAAGGATGTAGATCTGATCAACTGTCAAGCTTGACTTAATCAACAAACACAACACATTCCTAACAATGGTAAAACTGGTATTTTTTCCAAACACATGGGAAGGATTTGGCAAAATTGACCAAAACGGTGAATCTCAAAGCAATCCTTTACTGACAGACGAAGACCACTCAGAATATGTTCTGTGACCATAATTAGAATTAAAATCAGTAACAGGAAGAAAAGTAGAAAAACTGTGTTTCTTAGAACTTAGAAACAGTGTGCTTTCTCTTTTACATTTTCCTTTTTTTACTTTTGCAGCCACAAATTAAGTTTTTAATATATAAATATTTTATACAAATGGATTAGTAAAACTAAAATATTGGGGGCTGGAGAGATGGCTCAGCAGTTAAGAGCACTAACTGCTCTTGCAGAGGACCCAGGTTCAGTTTCCAGCACCCACATAACAGCTCACAGTCATCTATAACTCCAGTTCTATGTGATCTGATATGCTCTTCTGACTTGTGTGGGTACCAGTCACACATGTGTGGCACATACGTACATGTAGACAAAACATTCACATACATAAAATAAGTCTAAAAAAAACCCCAAATCAAAATATTACGTAAAAACAGCCAAAGCTAATAAACATGCAATTAACATAAAACCAAATTATCAGCAGGTCATTGGTGGTGCACGCCTTTAATCCCAGCACTCAGGAGGCAGAGGCAGGCAGATCTCTGTGAGTTCGAGGCCAGCCTGGTCTCCAGAGCGAGTGCCAGGATAGGCTCCACAGCTACACAGAGAAACCTTGTCTCGAAAAAACAACAAAACAAAACAAAAAAAAAAAGAAAAAAATTGGGGGGGGGGGGGGGGGGGAGAAGAGGTTGACATGTGAAGCAAGCTTGTTCCTAATTTTAACTAAAAAAAATTAATCACAAAAAATAAAAAATAAAATTAAAAAAAACAAATTATCTAATATTAAAAACATTCCATTTTAGTCACATATTAATGAACTTATATTTCCATTAACCAACAAAAATATTGCATTTGCACTGTTTTATCATTAATATTTTATCACTAAGAATTTATAGTAAAAACTACACTTTTTTTTTTTTTTTTTTAGGTTTTTCAAGACAGGGTTTCTCTGAGTAGGTTTGGAGCCTATCCTGGCACTCGCTCTGGAGACCAGGCTGGCCTCTAACTCACAGAGATCCGCCTGCCTCTGCCTCCCGCGTGCTGGGATTAAAGGCGTGCGCCACCAACGCCCGGCCAAACTACACTATCTTAACAACCCCACCTGACTCATCCTAAATTGGTTATAACCCAGAGTCACAGAGGAAATCACAACGGAAATTCTGAGTGCTTAGATGAAGATATGAGAAATCAGAACCTACAGGACACAAAGCAGTGATTACAGGAACTGCACAGCCTTACCCACATGTTCAAGAAAAGAGGCTGAGTATGGGGGCACAGGCCTACAAGCTGGACACCTGGAAGATGAAGACTGGATAATCAGGAGGTCAGTGTCAGCATTGTTACATTAGGAGTACAATGCTAGCTTTACTACAAAGAATGGAACAATATATGTAACTCCTGTTACAGATGTCAAACTTCCAGAGAAATACTATGGAGACTTTTACCAATTATACACACACACATACACACACACACACACACACACACACACACACAAAAGGGGGCAAGGGAGGGAGGGAGAGAAAAAGGAAGGGAAGAGGGAAGGAAGAACCACAGACTAAGAGAACATAATTGCAGCACATTCACAAAAGATTCGTTTCAGAATAAGTAAAGAGTTTGTACAAATCACTAAGAAATAAAAGCACAAAAGCAACATAAAAAAGCAGATCTCACAAGATTTTATCTAAGTGGCTGTCAGTCACCTAAGATGTTCATTAGGTCTCAGAGAAAGGCAAATTAGGAGTATTGTGGGATATAGCTGTAAGTGAACACAGACAAGCGTTGGCGATGATGGAGAGAGCAGCTAGGACTCCTTGTTTGCATCTTAACATGAGCTAACTCTGCCTCCTGTGTGGAGGGCAAGGGCCGGCTGCCACACCCACCTGATTTCTGTGTGGGCTCTGGGTTTCTGAATGACAGTCCTTACACTTATACAGCAAATGCCAGCTGTCTCCTAGTCCTGTTTTTTGCTTCTTTCTTTTGCTCTTCCATTTTGTTTTGTTTTGAGACAGGGTCTCTCCATGTAGTCCCTGGCTGTCCTGGAACTCACTATGTAGACCAGGCTGGCCTCAAACTCATACTCCTTCCTCTTCCAAGTGCCAGGATTACTGACTTGAACCACTATGCCCAGGCATACCTGAGGATCCTAAATCACAGCTTCTGAATCAAGAGGACAGGGAAGGGCCTGAGGGCCTGAGAAGCCTCTTCGTTATGAATATGTCTACAGCTGGCAGGTCCTCAGATCTACTTTGGAAGTTTTAAACTACTTTGGTAAAGAGTGTGAGAGGCCGGGTGGTGGCACACGCTTTTAATCCCAGCACTCTGGGAGGCACAGGCATGCGGATCTCTGTGAGTTTGAGACCAGCCTGGTCTACAAGAGTTAGTTCCAGGACAGCCTCCAAAGCCACAGAGAAACCCGTCTTAAAAAAAAAAAAAAAGAGTGCGAGAGATGCAGCCAGTGTCTGTGAATCCTGACAGCTGTGACACATGTGTGATAAACATATGAACCTGCTGCAGTTGTCCTGTACACCTTCAAACACACTTGAAACCTTGTCACCTAAACCCTTCCACTGGTTTGATTCCCAGTCCTTCTCTTTGAGCCTGTGACAGGGGATCCAAGAGAAAAAAAATCACTTTACCTCCTATTTTCTCTACACTAAGCACTCTGTGACCTCATATACATCTTTTTTTTTTTTTCTGGTGTGTGTCTGGGGGGTGCCCCTGTATATGGAATCCAGAGATTGATGCCACATGTCTTCTTCCATCACTCCCCACCTTATTTTTGAGAACCTGGTACTCATCAACTGGCTAGACTGGTCAGAATGGAGCTCTGGGGTCCCCATCTGACTCTGTACTTCAGATCACCCAGAGTTCCTGCTGATTCATTAAAATGCATGACGCCAGATTATTAAAGTCATTAAAATTATGGAGCAGAAAAAAATGGGCAGAAGGAAATTGGGTTTTTCTTGTTGTTGTTTTGTTTTTTTTAAGGGGATGAATCCTATTAAACTAGGAAGGAGGTCAACCATTAACAGGCATGCCTAACAATGAATCCTTGTATTTTCCAAGCCAGCCCCACTTTGGGCTCTG